CTCTATCACATACTTGCTTCTATGAAACAAATTAAGTATGTATGGCCCGTGCACGGAAATTTTAACTGTTTATTAAGGGACAAAAAAATCGTTAACTATATTAATCATAATCCTTAAACCATATCAATTTTTCATCTAAACAAAATCCACCAAAATTCATCAAATTAATCTCAATCAAATGTAACTATAACAACCTTCTCACCTAACAACTCAACAACAACATCTACAATTTACACATTACATTCATAATTCAACCAAATCAAAATCATAATCCCTAAACCCTATGAATTTTCTATACAAACACAATCCATCCAAATTCATTATATTAACCTCAATCAATTCTTAAAACAACAACAATCCTAACCTATAAACTCAACAACAACATTTACATTCTCATATTACATTCATAACCATCAATCCTAAACCCTAACAATCTTCCATCTACTACAAAATATAAAAACTAAAAAACATCGATTTAATGACTAACCTCGTTAGAATAACGATTCTTGTTGCATTTAGCGGTAATGTGCGTCCAAAAGCCTGAAGAACTCCGGCCACAAGCTTCCTTAACCCTCAAAATTTGAAAAATCCGATATGAAGGGAGGCTGCAACTTTTTCTTTATATATCATGCTTGATTAGGATTTGCCAAATCCGATGGTCACTGTTCATAAGTGACCTCAGACTACCCAAATCCGAATGTACGTCACTTTATCCGATCCGATTTAATACATCCAACAACCTTATCCACAAGGACGGATTACCCCTAAACTGAAAGGAGGCCCTCAGATTTGGTAAATCCGAGAGGTAAACCCTGAACCCTATACCAAAAACTTTGAACCCGTCTGTTTCAAGTTTGGCAAATCCACGAGTCACTATTCATGTGGGGCTCTCAGATTTGGCAAATCCGAATGTCCGTGACCTTATCCGATCCGATTTAATACATCCAACAACCTCATCCACAAGAACGGCTTACCCCTAAACAGAAAGCATGCCCTCGGATTTGGCAAATCTGAAAGGTAAATCCTGAACCCTATACCCTAAACCCTGAACCCTAAACCCTAACTTGGATTCGCCAAATCCGAGTTCATTGTTCCAATTTTTGAATTTGCCAGCCATTTTTGTTGTATTTTTTTAATATTAAATTTAAAAGCTTTTGGATTTCGCAAATCCGAGGTCACTGTTCACCTTTTGACCTTATTTTCCGTATTTTCCGAAATAAAGAAAATATATAATTTTTTATTATATTTAAATGCTTTGGATTTGGGAAATCCGAAAGTCAGTTTAATTAAGCTCTCGAATTTGCCAAATCCGGGACAACTACTTATGCCCACAAAAAAAAAGGTAAATTTTTTTTTTGTCCACATCAATTCTTTTAAATTTATTTTGACTGAAGCACCCCATATTTTGCACGTGATTTGCATGTGAATTGTATATCACTAATGTCAGTTATATATATATATATATATTTGTATATGAATTATATATATATGTATAAATTAAAATAACATGTCTTGATCAAATGGATAAATATAATTGTTAATAGTGATGTTCTGTTTTTAAACTACAAATGACACATAATAACTTAAAATAATAAAAAATTTATGTAGCTAACAAAATATAAAATATCTAAGAATATTTAATTAAAAAATACGTAGATTAATTTATAAAACTTTTAAAAATGATATGCTTTTTTTTACTTTTGAAATTCAGTGGGGGCATGTGCCCCCCGATGCCCCCATTATAAATGCGCACGTGACTGGATCATAACATTAGTACAAACAATAAAAATGCAGCAAATCTAATGCCTCCGTTTTTAACATTTTGTCACAAATACGGACATAAACCTACTCTTTACTCTCTTACTAGGGGAAGGCTGCTGCACAATACACATTGTGCAGTGGAATAGAGATTGGAGCCCGGTGGATTTTATACGGCGTAACATGTATAGATATAGCTAAACTTTAGTATGTAATTTTATATGTATAGATATAACTTTAGTATGAGTCTACGTACTGGAAACGATACGAAAGCAAACTAGATTTGTGCCACCTCATTATACATTTGTTCGTATTTGGTGATATATCCCATATTTTATATAGTAATTTAGTCTCTGGTTTTATTTATTGGCGTTTTGTCTAGTGCTATTAATGGAACGAAACGAAGTTCCGTGTAAAAACGGGAATTGTGAATTTTCATTACTGGTTGGAAAAAAAAGTAATAGAGGTATATGTATAATGTTTGAGCATATTTATTTTGATCAGGGAATAAAGGGAATTACGAAGGGTTCAGGACTGGCGTACACCGATAGAGCGTGGAATGTACAATTTATTAGTTCGATTTATTTCGAGACTTCAATGGAATGATGTGTTACAGGAAGTGTAGAGTGGTTGAAAAGACGTGAAAAAATGATAGAAATTGTTGAACTTTCTAATCGTCACAGAAATTCTGGAATTCGTGATGTGCAGAGTGGTGAAACCATCATCTATGGAAGACATTGATTAAAGGTTTCTTTTATTATTTATTTGTGCCAAAGGTGGCAAAGGCAGGGAAGAGGAGAAAATCGAAGGAAAATGGAAAAATCAAAGGGTATATAACATAATTATAAACTCACCTTTGGTAGATTTAGCTTTCTCCAAAAAGATCCAAACGAAAATCGGAAATCGTAGTCCATTTTTTTCTCTATTGCGGTCTTACTAGAACGAAATTGCAAAGAACTCTGAGAGCCGAAAAAACAAAGACCACTTCTTAATTGTAAGATGGGGATGAAAAAAGGGAGCAAAATTATGTGCTTATTCAACGATTTGATGCGACAATTGAAGAATTTACCGTCTGAGAGACTGTGAGCATAAATAAAAAAGAAAAACAGAGAAGATGCTACGTTCAGATTGGAAAGAATTTACTGAATAAAGACATATCTCGCCACGTAAGTTGATTGACCAGCCATGGAACAGAAACTGGCGCTCACCCGATAAAATCCCTTTTATGTATTATAGATTCATCCTTCACTTTGAATATAATATTGGGCAAGTGTATATTATACATGTCTCCCTGTGTAGGAGTATGTCTCCTTTCTTTTGTTTGTTTTTTGTATTTTTCTTTTTATATGCTTCTTCTTATTTTTATTATAAGATATTTTTTTTATTTTAAGTTTTATGTAGTAAAAGATAAATTAAAAACACAAATAAAATGCTTTATAATAAAATTCGGACAAATATCTGTTCATTACAATTTTCCATAAAGCCAAGCCAGGACCAAAAAAGACAACAAAAAAAAGGACAAAGAAAGACTCCAGAGATATTATTGTTGGTCCCATTCCATTCCATCTGATGTCTGTTTCTCCACATATTTTAGACAAAGAAGTTGGGCTGGAATTCACTGAGCTTGGTTTGTATAGGCTTTCTCGAGTGAAAATTATAAAATACAGTTTGTTTTGTACTCCAGTGTTTTCCTTTTCTAAGGCACCCGATTAAGGTTCCACATTGATATCATATCGTCATTTCAAACTCCATCATCCTCACCATTCACCCAATGATCCAACGCTACCTGAAAATGGGCATCCTTCAAAGGCTCAAACCACGTATTCAATCATTCCTTGAGCCAATAAAGTCGAGGGAAGTGATGTCAATGTCTATTTTGTTTTATTTGTTGCTTGAGGCTTCAATATAAAAGGGGTGTTATTAAATGCAGATTAGTTTTACTTCGCGCAACTTGTGAAATAGACGAAAATATCCCTATAAAGTTGCGTAGAGTAAAATCAAACTGCAAGAAGTAAAATTTTTAAATGAATAAAATCTGTAGGCTGTCAGCGGATTTCTAGATCTCTTCGGCAGCGGTAAAGAACAGATTATTTTCCCACCGATCAAATTACATAGTCATATTTATCAAATTCAAACAAAAATATTCACGAACAAGATATCCTAAGTTCATTTACGCCTAAATGAATAATTATTACAAATGATTTCCATGAAAATAACCTCAGGATGAAAAATTTGTTTTGAACTGAAACTGTAACAATAGACAGAGAAAGTCTCAACAACCATGGGCTTGGTTGGAATCATTTTAACCAAAACCGCCTAATCATACCAAACATGAAGGAAAAAAAAATTGATCACACCAAAAAGAGTCAAAAAATCGCCCAATATTTATCTTATTTTTTCCTCTTTCAGGTGTTATTTGGCTTTTCATCATTGTTAACAATCAACAATCAACAAATTTTTACTGTATATCGAAACAATATTTGTGAAATCATAAGAAGAGATGATTGTACAAAAGAATTTAGGAGAGTTTAAGAGTATTTTAGTCTATTTTACAAATTGCGAAAGTAAAATTAAGTTGCATTTAGCAATTCACATATCGGAGTCTGATTATTAAAAGTCTTCAAAACTCAACTTGATGTTTAAACTTTGTCGTCTACTTATATGTGTATCGAGTTAAAGAGTTTGATAACTTGTTGTATAAATAGACTCTTTACGTCTTAGCAAATAAAATCAACAAAAAATTTTAGGCATCAAGTTAAGTTTTGGTGAATTAGTCATTGGCCAATGAACCTGAGGCCCAAGTTGGCAGACCTTAACTTTTTATTTATTTTTGTTCGTCGACTTTAGTGTTAAGATAATTATTCTGATGACCAAGTCAACGAAACCCAACTTTTGTTGTGTCGACTTTAGCATCGATTTAATGAAAAAGACGTCGAAGTCGGCGAATCTCAATGTTTCGTTTTTTTTCGTCGGGTTTGGCATTGAGAGAATCAAGCCGACGCCAAAGTCGGCGGACCTCAACTTTTTATTTATGATTTTCTGTCGACTTTGGCATCAAGATGAATATCCTGACCACCAAGTCGACTTGGGCATCAAGTCTCAAATACCCTACTTTATGTTTAAGATTTTTTGTCGACTTATATGATTGTACCGATATAAAAGAGGCTGACGGCTAAACCGCCGACACCTAATTTGATGTCTAAAATTTTATCGTGGACTGTATATGCTTAAAAAGGAGATGACTATATTAGAAAAATCTGACCACCAATTTGATGTATACAACTGTTTGTCAACTCAAGTATCGAGACCTCTGACCACCAATTTGACAAAAACTAAACATTATGTATAAGAATCCTTTTGATCTATTCAACCAAATACAACTATATATTTTTCCATGGGACAATATTGAGACAGAAATAAACCTCACTTTTATATTTAACTAATTCTATTAACAGGCTGAAACTCATACAACAAAATTGACCCCATACATAATGAGCTAGTAACTCTATAGGGCTCTGAGTCGATATTATCTAGTTCTACCCTGCTTGGTACATAATTTCCACTTCCACTTCCAACCATCTCCAGGCTCCCCCCCCCAAACCCCCCCCCAACCCACCCAATCGGATAGCTGCTCTGAGTGAAAAAAAATGCAGCAGCACATCATGGCTTATACCCCGTCGTCTTTTGCATCTCCCTGAGGCCTCACCCCATTCCCGTCTAACTAGGACTAATGTCAATTTTGATAATACAAATGGTGCTGTTTGATAGCATAATATTAGAGTTTCCTCCTGCATTGCACGTCAGCAACAAGATGCCGGATATGAGGGGCATACCATTTCACTCTTTCGACATGTATTACCGATACTTCCCAAGAATAACCTGCAAATTTGCGTCAAGTTTACTTGCTCACAAGCATCTACACCAACCATGGTTGCAACAAAGAAACAGGAAAGTGTCTTCGGTCATTACTAGATATTGGGGGTTTTTTACCTTCTGATGTGGCAATGTCTCGGATTGATCGTGAGACGTGTTCCATCCAGGAAGATTCTTCTGTGTCCTTCACGTTCGCATGGATGTGCATTACCCCACCATCACTTCTGCAAAATGAAGGTTCAGGAGATTAGACTAAATGACCTGTAAGGAAGAAAAGACACTACTTGCAATACTGGTAATACCTTAATGCTCTAACAGCAGTGAGCCAGCTGGCCTCACTTGTTGGCAGCAGACCGAGGCAGACTCGATGAGCAACTCCCTGCGATCAAGACAAATGAAATAATGGTAAAGAAATTTTCCTTTTGAGGATGTACCAATTATTGCATTAACGCTTCCATAACAATTAAAATTGCTTCCTAAGTATTTTAGCCATTCAGTGCTTAGAACTTAAAACTTAATATAATATCTACTTAACTTTGGCCATAGTTCTCTCACTTTGAATAAATCCAGCAAATAATGCACTAAATAAAACATTAGTTCTCATGTGTCAAACTTGAAACAACTAGATGAAAAGGAAACGAATGATGAGGTTTATCTTTTTATTAAGAAAATATTCCCTCTTCCGATGCTCTTAGAATTCGAATCATCAGAAGATTGACAAACCCTATGACTTATGGCTTCCAACTCTTCCTCCTTTTCTCAAGTATAGAAGTGGAATGGAACATGTTCAGGAATCACTTCATAAGATTGCAAGAGTTCGGATCAGAAGACAGGTATCAAATAATACTCAAAGCTGGACCTAGACATGATTTCAGGTTCGAGAATGCATACTTTAGGTGCTGTGACACGATTATCTCCTTCGAGTACGACACATCGATCTCCGACCTCATTAACAGAAAGATTACGACGGAGTGCTTCTAAGGCATGGGGATTCCACTCACACGCATATACTAGTTTGGCACCAGCCCTGCAAAAACAAATATCATCAGCTAAACCACAAAGTATTGGAGAAGATGCATAATATAAGCAACCATGGAGGTAAAGAAGCTTACAACTGTCTCAAAAGAATGAAAGTGAATGACAAGATTTTTGGAAAAGTGATTCAACTTCATTTTAATGCTAGCGGAAGACTTTACATCACTAATAGTAGGAGTGAACGAAACAGAAACAACCCAGGATAACGAGTAGAATAGTTGTCGTCATAAGATACCTTGTAAGAAAGGGCAAGGTAAAATAACCGATTCCAGCAAACAAATCCACAATAATCTCATCTTTGCAGTTGAGATTAGCCATCCTGAGCTTCTCCGAGAGATTTCCCCATGAAAACATGCATTTGGTTGCATCAAAGGAGTATAGAATTCCATTTTCACGATGTTCAACCCATCCGTTATCTCCAACAAGTATCTCCAGAGTACTGTCCCTTGTTCCGGTAGATGCTATTGGACCCTAAAGGAGCATAAGATGATAAAACTCTATAGATAGCATGCAGATTCGATTATGAATAACGAACAATGGAACCAAATTTCACAGATAGGACATCAAGAGTCAGGCTAAAATTGTCATGGTGAAGTCACAGATTTAGCTCTAAGTGCCAAGAAACAAAGTTTAAAAAGGAAGGTCTTGGCTTTTCGAGAATTTATCAGAGTTTCTACATGCCACTGTAAGTCCAAACAGAAGCAGGAATATGATGAAAAGTCATGTGTGGGAATCTGATAATTTTGAACAAAAATGCAGACAAAAGTATTTGGAGAAAGTACTCACTTGTCGAGCAAGACGACTAGCACCAATCGACTGTGCAACAACAGGCCAAAGATCTTTCGCTACCACGTCCCAAGCAGGATCTTTGAATGATGTCACAGGAAGCAGAGCAATATCCCCTAGTCGCTGCCATCTGCAGGATGTTGAGGGTGGCCCAAAAAGTAAGTTTTAGATTAGCTTGGTATGGGCACTTGTACAGTTCCTTTTTTTCTTTCCAATCTTAGATGCAACATTAAAAAATTCAAAATATTGAAAAGAAAGATCCTAAAACATGTAAACACAACCTCGAAGGCAGCTCCTCTAAGAGATGGAGTGGTAGACCATTGTTCCCCACCAATGATGCCACAGCTTCCTTCATTGCTTGTAAAGGAGATACCGGAGCTCTTTTCACCTTAATAACCTTATCCTCCAGTTTTGTTGCACCACATGCCCTTAAAGTGTCCAACGCAGCAGTTTCAGATATATCTTTTACTAAAAGGCTCTCGGGACCAATTGGTTGTGCAGCAAGAATATCGGCCAGTTCCCCAGTCATGGTATCCTTGAATAGAGTGCAAAAGTTCTTGAGAATTGGGAAGTAAATATACTTCCCCTCTTCCTCTGAGCAAACCTTTCTCGTAAGATCCAACCATCCAAATTTCTTCAGTATGTCCTTCCCAAATTTTGCGTATTTCCTTTCAAGTCGAAGAACACAATATGAAGGAACCCGTTCATGTCCTATGTTATCATCAGAAACTTCAGTAGGGTTAACAATTCCACTTCTCATCAGCCTGCTTTTGTCTGCGGATTCTGGTTTCTGACCTTTGATACATTCTTCCGTATTTTTCACATGTGAAACAGTATCAGCAAGAGACTTAACAGGAAGCAAGTTAATTTTTGTTGGTTCACTAAACTTCGTTCCAAAAGCATAACAAGATGCCCCACCACCAATCATTACTAACTCATGACCTATTATGCTGGCAGTACTTCGAACAAAAAGGTCACTGCCGGTAGAGTTTATCATAAAATGCGTCCAAACAGAAGAGTTCAGGTCAAGAAGGGACAATTCCTTATGATGTTTACTAACCGGACATCCCCCAATAATGCCAAGATAATTGTTATAAACAAACATTGAATGTGAGAATCTTGCAGTTGGTTCTCTTCCAGCCACATTCACCTTCTTCCATTTGCATGCTTGAACATTAAAAGCATAAAGGTCTCCAAGAGCTTTCTCTCCGTCACATCCACCAAACATGTACAAATTATCCCTGTGCGCTACCATTGAATGAGAATGACGTGGAGATGGCCACTCCCCTTGGATTGGTATTGCATCCCACTGCAGTGTTTGGGTGTCAAGGACATGAAGGGATGATAATATTACACCATTATCGACTCCACCAAACACGTATATCTTTGAACCTATTGCAGCTGCAGCATGCCGATGCCTGCATGGGATAAACATCTTAACCAGAATTTCATGCCTTCAGAAAACTGCACCTCCGCAAAGCATTCTTAAGAAATAAAAATATGCTCAGAGATAAGAAAAGCATATATAGATAAGAAAAGCATTCTTGATAGCAAAAGTATATGTTCAGAAAAGCATTGTATGAGTAAAGCATCCTATGAATAAAGCATTCTTGCAGAGAAATTTCCACTTTGTCCGGTATATGTCATGATAAAAACAAAGAAAAACCTTCACCTTGGACTGAACTGACTCCCAGAACATTGAACCAGACTCCATTCGTTTGCTCCAATTTTGAATTTCCATACATCACCCAAGATAGTTAATGGGTCAGCCCTGCCTCCAACTACATAAATAGAATCCCCCAGAGCGGTGGATGAGTGACCAATACGGGGACATGGGGACTGTGAAACATTGATTGCTTTAGCCTCGCCACCAATGGGATCAAGTAGCAACAAATCACTCCTTCGTGCATGCCTTCCAATGCCGCCAAAACCACCAAATATGAGTACCTTCATACAATTATCATAACTTATAGCACAGGAAGAGTGTCCCCACAGGAAAAGCCTCTCCACTGGTTGGCCATTGATGTTGATATGTGACATAGATAGCTTTAAGTCGAGAAGTTTTGATGATCCTGTCAACCATTCAAATATTCAGATTCTACTCAAGTTAAGGCAGAGCATCCTGCAAACAGACATATAATAGAATGTCACTGAGTATGACATTTTTTGGGTGTACAAATTTGTAGCTTGTTTACAAATGGAACAAAGAAGGTGGCACAAATCAAGCAAATTTAGACTGTATACAATTGTAGGAAGGCATATTCAATATTATGGAACATAAGTGTATCCCATATTCACAAGCCCATGTACCCATCAATAGTCTCATTTTGATCATAGTTTGAGAACATTCTGGCAGTTTTACTTCAGGAAATGCTTCGGGGCACCAAAAGAACAGCAAACAATGTAGCCTGAAAACAGCAAAATATGACAAACAACGACAGCAACAATTGGCCTTTTATCCCAAAATGTGAGGCCTTCCGAATGTGGATCATATGTTGCATCATGCTTCGTCATAAAACAAATAGTCAATACAGAGAGAAACTACCAAGAACCCCTGCATACCTCCCAATCCAATCTTTCATTAAGTGTTCTTTCTTTTAAAGTCACATTCCATTCACAACCCCATGTTAGCATGCAAATCATCACATAAATGAAACCTATTACCTCACCTAAATATACAGCAACAATAATGTGAAACAAACTCTTTTAGAAAAGTACAGATGTAACTTTCCTTAATGAAATCCATAGAAATAGAACCAAGAAAAACATAGATCGAAAACCACTGATTACCCAATTGGCTGTCATCAAGATCTTTCCTTTCGTCATCAGAACTTAAACAATCTCCCAAAGACTCCATTTTTTCACCATCAAGACACTCTGAATCGTCTTCATCGCCACACACGAGTTCACCATTCCCTTCCCCAATTCCATTGGCTACCTTTCCATATCCATTCCTCACCAATGCCTCAAACAAAAGATCAGTTCTTTTCTTATTAGCTTCCATCTTATCATTAGCAACCCGAATTAAGTAGTCCAAATACTCAGGCGACACCATTACTTTCTGAGTATTCCCCAAAGGCACCTCCATTCTAATAGAACACCTTATTGCAATAATAACCCTTTTCTTACTCACACTAGTAATCCCACTCTCCCTGAACCCACATGAAATAGCCAAAGAAACCAATGAACTGGCAGCCTGAACATCTCTGCACTCCACAGCAATGATCAAAGGCTCAAATTTGAACACCAGCTCGTTGGCGTTGTAGCTGTTGGTAGGATTAGAGGGAAAGAGCAGGGGGGGGACTGAGGTGGGTTCCACTGGGTAGTCATGGGAGATGAAGAGCCAGGACCCACCTTTGGCCTTCTTCTTGGAGTTTGCGGGGTCCACAGGGTGGGAGAAGATGGAGATGCGGCCAGAGCAAGAGCTGGTGGTGAAGTAGGAAGGGTGGGAGTTGAGGAGGTTGAGGAGTGGGATGATGGGTTCGTCTATATTGCCTTTGGGTGATTTGTCTGGTTCTGGGGAGTTCATGGTGGCTAAAGTTGCCGCCTTTCTTCTGCCAAACTCCATTGTTGAGTTGAGTTTCTGTCCTGAAGAAGAATTTGGGAATGCTTAAACCCTGGACCGGGGAATTGTTGTCAAATTTGATTCTGATGATCGCTTGAAGGCGTGGAGTATTGGCGGTTCAATCCGCGCCTTTGTGAAGCCTTCTCAAAACCTTTGCAAATTATTTTGAACAATAAGTTTTGTATCGTGTCACATACAATATCGACATACTGCATGAACAGCTTCACAATTTGACTAATTAAAAAGGTTTATAACTATAATCGTCTTTGAATGTCGTGGAATGTCCACATGAATATGTTGGGAGATAATATATAAAATAGAAAGTAACATTTTCACATTTTTTAGTGTGGTCATATATAATATTTAAAAAATTACGGAATCTAGATTTACAAGGTTCTAAATCCTAATGTTACTCGTTTTCTGCGATGTATTTTAGTGGGTGCCGATTCAATTTATCGAATCAATTTCAAGTTATATATTCTACAGGATTTAAAAGATTATTTTGGAACAAAAATGTAGTAAAAACATAAATCATGTCAAGTCGGTTTGGGTTATTCTTGTAAATCGTATCGTCGAATCAGAAATTGAAATCTTTTACACGATTATCGTGTTTGGTGCTTTAATTTATCTACAAATTACTCCGTATGGTCCTTAATATAAAGCATTTGATTTTCTCTTAAATTTCACCTAGTATGCATTTTTAATTGACGGAAAAATTTTAAAAATATATTTTTAGAATCTTTGTATTCTCTTGATTGTTATAAAATATTTTTAAGAATTTTTTATTAATTAAAAATAAGTATAAGTTAAATTTAAGATAAATCAAATTGCCTTATATTAAGGTCCGGAGGGACTACCCTTTGCCCATTTACTGTGTCGTGTGTATATTCGAATTGTTTTGGGAAATCATGAAGCGAGCTTAATTATTTAACAGTTTACGTCATCATCATCATCATCATCCATGGATAAAGAAGCTTATACTAGTATATTCATTAATTAAATAGTGATGTGCTCCGCTACAATAGTTGTGGTTTACAAAAAAGCATGCACAAGTTGGCGTTTTCACATGCTTACAAAAATAAAGAGAGCAGAAAAGGAAGAAAAAAAAAAGTTTGATATTCATCACATAATAAAAATTGCACACACTAACTAGCCTTGCGCAAAATATTTCTAATTGAACCAAATTTAACTTATTTTTGCTTGATACATGTGATTTATGTAAATAAAAATCAGTCCTGGTAATGACTTGTTGATGAAGCATATTTTGAGCTGAAATACTTCTCGATTTCTTTCGCTGTTCTTCCCGGTATTCTTCCAGCTATCAAGGACCATCTGTATACAATAAGACATTTAGGGTTTGTTTGTTTCGTTTTTTTAGTATGTGTTTTTAGGTGTTTTTTGTAATGAGAATGTAAAAAAAATATATTGGAAATGTAAAAAAGATATGCTGAATGGGAGAGTTAATAATAATTTAATTTGAAATCACCATCATAAAAAGAAAACGAACAAAGACTTAATTTTAATGAGAAAAAGACCCTAACAAAAAAAAAAGGAATAAAAAGGGTGCATGATAGTGAGCCAAAATGATAGTAAAAGATAAATTACATTAAAATTTACCTAGGTCCAAGCAGTTTGTACATTCTTGCAATGAGCATTTCTTCATCTTCTGAAAATTCTGGCTTGCTCTCTTTACTAGTGCCTTCTGAATATAACATAATGTGTCACATCAAACCCAAAATGGATACATTAAATTTGGTAAAAAACTTAAAATTTAAACTTACTTAGTATAAATAATGGTACAAAAAAAAAAAGATATTGCAAATTACCATGTAAAGTCTTAGTAAGTATAGTAGGGGGGAAGTCAAAACTGAGAGGGTAACCAAAGATGCAAATGAAGAGTACCTTTTTCATTGTTGTCATTGTTGCTGTTGAAGTCTCCCATGTTTTGTCTTCCAAACTAGCTAGTATATTTTAGCTACCTTGATTGGTGGTATATGAAAACTAAGGGCTAATATAAAGTTAAAGCTTTCTGAATGCTCTAAATGTCCTCAGTCAGGGCAAGTATATATAGGAATGTGTGTGTGTGTGTCTGTGCGCGGCGTGGATCGTCATCATCATGGTCTTATGATCAATTGATTAAGGCAGGACTTGTCGTTGAAGCAGCAACGACTGGTAGTTCTCACATTTGATAGTTTGTTGGAAACACATGAAATCTCCCCCCCTATGTATGTCCATATTCCTCCCATGGTCTGTAGATCCAAAGAAGTCAAAGTACCAAAAGAAAAGGCATCCAAATTCCAACTCCCATACTAAATTTAGCACACCATCAACAATTTTCCTAATCCAATAACTGATTTAATTAAATTTATCATTTCGATGTCACTACATGCATCCTACTAAATGTATTCTCAATTTTCGGAGTATACATAATACACTCTAGAGAATAGTAAAGATTAGTACTTGATTATTAATCTGAAATGGTCTAACTCTAATAAACAAATATTACTCTTTACAAATTAGTAATTGTTATCGATGATGATAAGAAGTGAACTTAAATAAAAAATATAACAATTATTTAGTTCAAATTGTATAGATATAGTATAATGATATTGCCACCACCAATCCTTCCCATATCGAATAATCAAATCAACTTGTAGCTAGCTATTTGACACCAACAGTTTTTGTAGTTGTAAATGAAAACAATTAGAATGCAAAGACAATTGGGCTCCCATGTTACCCAGAGAGTTAGGCATTCCTAAAGGATGTTATATGAATGGAAGAGTGAAGTGGAGAACCAAGTCACGCATGCGGAACAAAACCATTCCAGATTATGCAATCCTTTTTGTCTTCAAGTGACCTTCAATTGGTATATAAAATTGTACTCCACCATGTATCCATTTGGGGGGTGTTTTTCTGTTGTTTTTATTTGAAAGTTTTACCTAACTTTTTGTCCTATATGTGTGTGCATGTGGATCGATTATGGAACCTCTCCACCTAAATTTCTTTTTCGGTTTTCTCCAAGCTACAAGAACTAGAGGTGGTACCATGTTCTATAGCTAGTAGCTAGATTATGGCTTTTTTCCAACAAATTAAGAACATCTCTAACGCGTCCGCCCAGTGAGCGTCCTGGGCGGACACGTTGGATTTGGCGAAGTGAGCGTTTCAACGCGCTTCGCTCCGCTCCGCCAAAGTGCTCCGCCCTCCTTCAAATGTGGCGGAGCACTGTTCACCTGCTATGAAGCGGGTGAACCTTCTTTTTTTTTTTTCCTCCTAAATTTGGGCTGAAATGTGAGTTTTTCATTGGGCTTATTTTTCATTTGGGCCATTTAAAACATTTAAGACTTTTTAGTTGGGTCAATTTGGCCCTAGTTATATATTAATTAGTTTAATTATTATAATTTGATTATATATTTGTTTTTATTAATGTAATTAGTATAATTAAAATCTAATAATTATAATTTATCATTTTAATGAGACAATTTACGTCTTAATAGCAAATATATGTATGTGTAATTGTACGTTTTAATAGAAAACATTAATAATCATAATTATAATTTTAATGAATGAATTTAAATCTTAATAGTAAATATATATGTGAGTATTTTAACATGAACTAAGAAATCATTGTTGATTTATTATAAAATCATAAGACACATTATTATTAATAAAATCACATAAAAATAAATTACAAACAATCAAAACAAATACATTCTTTTGATTATTTATAAACTTAAATTATACAATAAGTACAAATAAAGTACATCATTTAAACTCACAAAACCAAACACCAAAAACACAATAACGATAAATTCGGCTGTCATTCTAGATTTCATTATAATATTGGCTGTTGGATTGATTTCTATATTATCTTTCTTATCTTCTTCTTATCTAATTTACAACCATTGGATTTTTAGAATGTGTAGATATATTATACCATGGATTAAAAATACATAATTTATATTACATAAAGGAAACACTACAAACAATCAAAACAAACACGTTGTTTTGATGACAAACTTAAAATTACATAACAGAAATTAAAAGAAATACATCATTGAAACTCACAAATAAAAACACTACGACAATAAAAATAACAATTAGGAAACTAAGCATTAATACAAACGACAAGTAGACAGTTTCACAAATTAATTATCATCGCTACCATATTAATCATTCAAATTGCTACCACTATGTCGGATATCATTGAGAAATCCAAATTGTCCATCGTTTGATGGTGTGCCAAACTGTCCCATGTTAGACGATTATTGTCCTTGAGATTGTTGTTCTTGTAAATCCCTTACTTGTATAATTTCGAGCTGCTTTCTTTCCCAATATCGACAAACCGATACATTCGGAATAGAGTTCAAGTCCATCATCAGCTGTTTGTCCTCTTGTTGTTTTTTTTTTTTGTACTCCAAATTTTGTTTTTGTATTTCAAGTTGTTGATTTTGGCGTTCATCTTGTGCCTTCATAAAATCAAGCATAGCATCAGTTCTTGCATTAAAAGTACTAAACATCTTACTCAAATGTTCTTCTGTTTTCTTCTTCAGTTTGGCTTTCTTCACTCCCATCGGGCGTCGAGACGATGGTCCACTTCCGCTACCACTATCGTAGCTTTGTTCAGGATTAAGAAATGACAACATTGGGACTCAGGTGTTGGTTATTCGGGATTAGGATTTTTGGATTCCGACGAGTCGTTGATTGTAGTACACTCCCGAGAACCATATTTTGGTTGGGGGACATTAAATTTGCCAAAATTTTGTAGCAAATCAAACACATGGCCAAACTTGAACCCATTTTTAAATTTTGTTGTATGAATAAATAGCTCTTCGGCTTGTTTCATCTACAAAAGAAAAACAAAATAAGACTAACATACATAAGATTCTTTCAATAATAGCACATTACGATTAAAATGAAATTGAAAACTAGAAAAAAATAAAAATTATAAACTCACCCGATCTCCGAGTTGTGTCCCACTAGGGTTGCGTTTCTCGATCTGTTGTAAACTTCCATTAAACTTCTTACAAATACCTTCAATTATACGAATGCGAGATTTGCATGTTCTTGTTCTCGTTATATGCGGAACCTACTCTCTCCCAGAATATTTGTGCTTTCTGCTTGTTTGAGTCAATTGGATTTTCTGAAATATGGATGTAACATTTCACAAGAAGTTCATCTTCT